GTAAACATTTTGAATTATTATAAATATATATGTATATGATAGCTATAACCAGACTCGATAAAAGCTTGGTGACATATATATACATATATGTGTATATATATATGTATGTATATATGTTTGGAAAATCAAAAAAATATATAGAGTTTGAAATGAAGTTAATTCAACAAACAATGCAATATGAGCGACATGTTCTTAGCTATATATGAATGTATTACACAAGCACACACACATACACAGATGACACATATATACACCCACACACACACAGATAAAATGCATATGCTGGACTGTTCTCTCATTTTCATATGCATAGATTGACTACTCAGACAGACACACACACATACCTACACACATATATGTACATATTTGTGTATGGCCACGCATTGGCAAGCTTCACTGTACTTGCAACAACAACTATAACAATAACAACTTATATAATCATCAAGAGACGTCTATATGTAGCCATTGGCAGCAAAACAAAGAAAAACAAATATTTCAATAAATTAAATTTTTCTACAAAAATGAAAAGAGAATCGTGTTTGATTTTTACTTATTTTCAGTCATTTTATCATTTAAGTATTGCATTAAAATGTATTTTTAGAATAATATGTAAGTCATTGAATAATAAATAGTGTAACATATTTAAGTTCGCTGAGAGTTTGACCTTAAACCTAAGGTTCTTTTAACCATTGAGCCGGAAGCTTGTAGCAGAACTTTGTTCTGAGTTGCGGTAAATCCTAGTCGAGTTATATCAAAGGACCTTGTCCTTGCTAAAGTTTGTGCTGAGCTTAATAAAAGCTTAAGATGTGACCTTGGCGTAGCTTTTAGCTTTGCGCTTTAAGCTCTACGAAACTTGTTTTCTAGCTTCAAACCAGTAGAGCTTCTAGTCAATAATGCAGCCAAGTGACCGCTAAAAGTTTAAGCAATAAATTAATTCTGATGCAACTTCATATAGCATTGGTGTGTGTATATTGAGCTGTATTGAGTCGATAACAAGGCGACCTTCCCATACTTATATACCGATATTTTACTTTGGTATAGCATTAAGATCTGCTTCACAGGTGTTAAAGTTTTTTTTTTAATAGGTTTTAAGACCAGAAGGATTGAATCCACTGAAAATATATTATTGGTTCTGGACGTCTGGTCAGATGTGTCCGATCCTAATATATCTGTCCGACTGTATGAATGCAGTGATTTTTATACCCTGAACCCATTTTCAATGGGAAATCAGGGTATAATGGTATATATTCTTGATCAGGGCGACGAGCTGAGTTGATTTAGCCACGTCCGTCTGTCTGTCTGCCCGTCTGTCCAAGCGCATATCGAGTTTTGCTTAAAATATCGATAACTTGCTCCGTTATTTTGTTATCGATTAAAAACATCGAAGACCAGTAATAAATTTATATCTCCTACATCTTTAAAGCTAGAGTCGCCTTATTTTTAAAGTAGATTCATATGTACTTTATAGAATTTCAGTTATTGTCAAAATTCTCCCCCCACCCCTATATTCACCCCCTCACCCACATATTTGTAAAAGGCGTATTTCAAATACTAGGACTAGTGCTTCAATTCAATTACATGCATATCTATGTTACATTCATAATATAAAAGTTTCATGAAGATAGTCCATCCACAAGGAAAGTTATTGAACAGTTAAGTTTCCATAGTAAGCCACCACTGCAACTAATGCGTGTTTATGCGTGCGTGCGTATGGCTGTGTGTGTGCATGTGCGAATAATTATTGAAATATCAGTTGCTCGCTCGGATTGTCCAGGGGATCTCGTAGTCGAACAGTCTCGACTACAGCTTTCTTACTTCTAGAATTTCCAGAACTAATGTTTTGAAGTTTGTAATATATAATTTGGTATACCCTACTTAATATGTACGTATAGTTATATAATCGGACCATAATTGGTTATCAACTTCTCTTGCAGATGGGCTACCTCCATAAAACTTTCATAAGCCTATGCATATGGCATCTACTAGCCTACTTGTATAACCTATTCTATTGCTGCCAATATTATTCAATATTTGTGTGTCTGGTAATACTGGTCTATATACATTTGTATATATATCTGTATACATGTATATCATTTTAGTAAGTATTAAAGAATAAAACTCCGAATGAGCGGCTACTAGAAATTTATTTTCAGAAGTGCCCAAGTTCCATCCTGAATATCTCACGCAATTTAGTAACCTAATTTTGTGTGTTCACAAAGTTTATCTTATTTAAGAAACAAAAAATTCTACAGGAAGATATATAGCATTATCATTCGGGAAAAATCAAATGTATATATATACATATGCATATCGTTAAATAAATTCAATGAGGGCTAACGAATTCCATTAGAATCGTATTAAATGTTAAGTTAAGGCAGCCAAAGTTCAATTTGCTTCTGTATTTTCTTGTTTACCAGCAACAGAGCGGGGGAGGGGAGAAGAGGAGTAGTAGGCGTGGCATATTGATTAGAATTTGAGCCATGGCAAACTTATGCAAAGTAAAAAGAGATGTTCAGAGTTGCGTGAGCTTCAAAGCTCATAAGATATTCATTGGCAAATGCACACACAGTAGGGTGCGTGTGTGGGTGTGTGTGTGTGTGACTCCAGATGGAATTGAGCCGACTTTAAGATTGGCAGCTATGCCAATAGTTCCATTAGTTGAGCTAATTCAACTTGCTGAACTAGATGAATTCAATAAACTAGTTCAAAATGATAATTTCAAAGGAGCTCAGTTTGCATTGCATTAAATTGAGAGAGAAAGAGAGATGGGGTGCGAGGGAGAAAGAGAGAGAGAGAGAGACAATGAGACCGAGAGAGAGTCGTGCGTTGATCGCATTGAACTAGCTCAGTTGACTTGTTCAATTGAACTGATTCGGAACGAAGCTAGCTTTCTAACTCTTCAGCATTCGCTCACGCTCTATCGCGCGCCTCCCACGATGCCAACTGAGGCAGAGGCATAGACAGAGGCATAGGCAKAGGCAGAGGCAGAGGCAGCGACGTGTTTAGCACGTAGCACGCTGTTTGAAATGTTATTTCATACGCGATATTTGGCTGGCAGCAAATTCATGCACGCATATATCGATATGGCCACATTAAAATTTAACTGCGCCAACAACCCCAGCATCATGCTGCATGCTACATGCTACATGCTACATGCTACATGCTACTTGCGACATGCCCCACGCTACTGGCCACATGCCACCAGCCCAATTGCTCTGCTGCGCAACCACTAAAAACCGAGAGACTGAGCCGAGGCCATCGCCCAAAACACGTGCCCATTTATATTTATTCTAAACAAAGGAATAAAAACTTCTGTCGCCGCGCACATGAGGCCCGCGAACTGTTTTCTCTGCGTGTCCGTGTGTGTGTGTGTGTGTGTGTGTGTGTGGCCAAACGACAGCAAAGTTTTTATATTTCCACATACCCTGCTGCTGCTGAGAACTGGAACGAGAGCATAGCCAAGTCCAGTCAAGTTGAGATGCTTTGGGCTAAATTGAATTCAGCAGAAGTGTCGTCTATTCATGGATTTCTATACCCTATTCCCTGTAAATATTGCATATGCGGTATGCTAATCGAGTATATCTCTCCAAGTCCAATTCCTACATCAAAAGATTAGATAGCAAAGGCGTCCATATCGATCGAAACCTGCTAAGCTTGCTATACCTTATCCTGCCTTATAGCATTTGGCACATAGGAGAAGTCCTAAAGGAGTGATGAATATGGCGAACTAGAACTTAACTGTTTATCCAATCAGCGAGTATAAAATTGAGTCAAACCAAGATCTAGATTATGTATTTGGTTAAGCTTGAACTTATGTCAGTGCCACACATAGATTAGAGCATGCATAGATGGGTTGCAGAGCAAAGGGCATCTGTAAGTCTGCCCCATCTGCAGCTAGAGCATTGGTAACTTGCTTTTTATTCGCAGAGACGTCCGATGCTTTGGCATACGGCAATGCGCGTTTGGCCGTTAAGGACATTAGTGCGTTTCGCTTACATTGTGCAGGTTTTTACAAGAGGTGAAGCTGATGCCGAAGTCGCCGAGTTGTTCTGGACCCTGGGGGACGGCTCGTAAAGCGCAGCACGCAGCGCGCCTAAGCGAAATTTCATTGGTTTTTATGGTAACGATGCTGCGTTGACTACCCCAAGCCCAAGCCCCCAGCCCCAATCAAGAGCAAACCAGCCTAACCATTCAATCTACACCCATTCCTTGCGTATACTTTTTGAATCTGTATTCGCCTTGGCATTTCTCTTTCTCGAGGTGCCAAATCGATTAGGCTAGGCCATCATTCTGACTTCTTAGACTTCTTAGATTAGACTAGGCCATCATTCTGACTTCTTGTTTCCAGCTATGTATTTTGCTATTCCTGTTCCGCTTCGTATACTAGTACACGGTACACGGACGGGGCTCCACTTGGTGTCTTGGTAAAGTTGCTCAACTGTCTTGCTCCATTGGCTTTCATTGAGCCTAGACTCCAAGCAGATATTGGCTGCAATAAGTTCTCGCACTGTGGTCTCGTTTCCGAATCCTTGCTGCCTTATATTTCAAATGCTCTCCATTTTCCTCAATCGTTGTGTGGAGGTTCCTCGGTTGCTCCTTAATTTCCTTGAAATCACATCGAGGGTAAAAGAGGTTTCGCTTTAGCATCCTCCTAAAAAATATATTCTTGCGTGCTCTGCTGCTGCTTCTCATGGTCCAATACTCGCAAATCTGGTTCCCGAGCTTACCCTTTGCAATTTGGTTGCCTTTCCCGATCCGCTGCGACGCAGTTGAGCCTAGACCCGTCTTCGTCCCGCAATTCCCGTGCGCATTTCCCTTTTCTGGAGCTGCTTTCACTTTTCGCGCCCGGCCAAGAAGCCGTCTCGGGGTGGCATTGCTCAAGTGCTTGCCCCAGCAGCATGGGCAGCATCGGCAGCATCGAGCTGCCACTTCAGCTGGAGCTGCAGCCGCAGCATCTGCACATACAGCTTCAGCCTTCGCTGTAGCTTGGAGTCATCTTTGCACCTTCCACGCTGCAGTCGACATTGGCATTGGCACTGTCTGCAGCGGGACTTGCAACCCCTGTTAAACGGATGCAAGCAACTCGAGCAACGATTGCACCACCGACGCACCACCATCCACTTAAACTTTTGAATAGTGGAAAAAGTGCACTCAAGCAGGGTCTCTGGTTGGATTCATGTGCCAGCCACCACCATG